AGGATGAATTGGATGGACTTACATGCTGTTCTTTCCCATGCCTCTGCTTTCTGGAACTGCTATTCTTCTTGGGTCAGCTTGCATACCGTTCTACCCACTGTGGGCATCCCCTTCACCACTCTCCGAGGGCTGGCATTATTCCCACAGGGGCTTCTTCATCCCTTCCAGCATGACTCTGTGGGCTGTTATTCTTTCCTTTGTGTTCTTGATTTTTCTGTTCATGACAGAATTATGTAATGGCAAATTTAAAAAAAAAAGTGTATCTGTGCTTAAAATTTTATTTTCCTGCAATTGTGTATTCTGAAAAATTGCAAACGTACAGGGAAGTGGAAAGATATACAGTGACAGCTTACAGACCTTTCACACTTGCCTTCTTTCTGTGGGAACACGTGCTTTCTCCCTGAGCATGTGAAAGTCAGCTGCAGACAGTGTGGCTCTGAGAACAAGGACATTCCCTCTAAACACAGAGTCTTTAGCCACTCACAACTTGACACCATAGTTGCCCCAGGTGTTCCCTGGGACTTCTACTGTTAAACCCAGGGCACGGTCATGTCTTGGGCTGCAGGTGGCCTTCTGGCTCCTTAAGTCCCCTTTAATTGGGTGAGTCCTCCTGCCTTTCTAACAGCTGTCTTCCATCCAGGTTTGATTGTGTCAGCATTTGGATTTGGGTGTTCTTCTCCTGGACTGCCACAGGTTAGATGTGTGGGCGCCCACTGCTTCTCTGGAGGCACCTCATTGGGGTAAGAGGTGTCCCCTCAGGCTCCTCTCTCATTATGGTGCCTTTCCCCATTGCAGGGCACACGTCATCTGTTGGATGATGGGGTGAGGACTGTTCCTGTGCCCCATAGCCTCGCAGGGCTGACACTGAAGGTCCTTTCCTTGCTCAGCCACTGACTGAGCAAGCATTGCTTCTGTTTCCTTCCTTCCTCCCTCTTGTACTAGGGACAAAATGCAGGGCTCACACTTGCTAGGCAAGTGCTCTACCACTGAGACACATTCTCAGTCCTCTTTTTATATTATTAACTATTTTTTTATCACTTAAAAAAGTATTTCCCCATATCCTTTCTAGGCAAGCGCTTTACCACTGAGCTACAACCGCAGCCCCTATTATTGTTATTTTTTTTGAAGCTCCGATTGCCTTGGAGCCTCTTCAGCTGATTTCTGTGCGTTTGAACCTGTCCCCGTCCTGCTGAGCCCTTCCTGGTGTGCGTTTTTCAGGCTCACCTAGCCTGCAGTTGCTCCATTCTCCAAGGAGCTCTGGAATTCAGAAGGCAGAGACCCGGGTGTCAGGTGGCTGGCTATTCTGGGGAGGCTTTCAGTGGACGGAGCAGATGAGCCCAGTTCTCAGCAGTCATGGGTTCTGAGAGTTCGTGGTGCCCTGAGGAGCCCGCGTTCGCCGAGCAGCCAGCATTGTCAGGGTGGTTAACTTGCTCTGTTGCATCCCTTCTCTCCTTTCTCACACCCCAGCTTTGTAGCCACCTGGGAGGGAGTCAGGGCCACCGTGTCCTACCATCTCCAGAGATTGCCTGGGAGGTCACCGGCAAAGGAGGACCAGGGGACACAGAACCGCCTGTCTGCTCGTGGAGGGACCTAGTGTCTGGGTTTGGGGACCACTGTGCTTCTGGTACCTTCAGCCACCGGAGGCACACTTCCATTTCATCATGCTTAATTCTCCCTGTGACTTTTAGCTGCCCACGGGCTGAATGTCATGGTAACGTGCGTGACCAGAGTGAGGACCTCCGAGGTCCTAGATTGTGCCTGGACTGGGAGGGCATGTGTGCTAGAAAAGCAGAGCCTCCTGAGAGGCCAGTGTGCCTCAGGACTGCAGGGAGGGGTGGCCTGGGGCTCTTGGCTGGAGGTCCTGTTGCCTGAGGAGAGGTGAGCTCTGGAGGGCACAGGCTGCAGGCCAGCCCACCAGCTCTTCTACTTGACACCTCACTAGGTGTACACCAGATCCCTTGTCCCGCGTGCCCAGCCTCCCCAGGGGGCCAGTGGAGGGCAGTACTTCTGAATGCTCATCCTCCTGGGACTGAACTGGTGAGAACTGGTTTCTGGGACCCACAGACCGGCATCAGCAGGCTTGATGGCCATTCCACTTTGCTGTCCAGGCTCAGCTCCTGCTGAGACGGTGGGCAGAGAAGAGACGGTCCCTTGGGCCTGTTCTGACCCTGGAATAGGGCCACCCCTCTTGCCCGCTGGATCTTAGGCCCAGCGAGGACTCTTTCCCCTCCCTGCCCCAACCCCAATCAGGTAATCCTCGAGGCTCCTTTCTGCTGAGCCCAGCGCCGTCCCCTGGGGTGGGCACAGGAGCCTGGAAGTCCTCTGAGTAGGGAAGCCAGTGCCCAGTGCTGACTTCCGGGCTGCCTTACCTTGGTGCTTGCAGGTGCACTTGATTTCCCCCACCAGACTCCAGCTTGGCAGCTTTAGGAGGGCCCTGCCCTTTCCCATGACCAGTGGAGGCTCTCAGTACCCGTCTCTGTGCCTTCAGATGAGACCCCCAGACTTAGGACAGCCTGCAAAGAGCACTTGGTCAGTGCTTGGGTTCCTCCACAGCCAACCCTGCTGTGCCCCTAGGTGACCTTCCAAAGGGCAGTGACGGGCAGGATGTGTGTGGCCTGGAGCTGCAGTCTGGGCCTTGCAGGGGCTGGCTTGCAGCTGGGCTTGTCCTCAAGGCTTGGATCTGTGGCCCAGCCTGCTCGGCTTCAGGTGGCCGTGGCTGAGGAGAGCAAGTCTCCAAGCTCACCTTCCTGCAGCCCTGGTCCCAGGGCCTCCTTTCCATTCTGAGTCAGCATCCCCACCCACGGGGGTCTTGGTTTGGTTCTATCTGCATTGGCATAAGCACTGTGCCCAGCGACACCGGCAATAGGACACCTTCACACTGCACTGTCTCTAAGTGAATTCAGGGTTGTTCTCGCAGATTTTTATCTTCAGAGCAAATTCCACAGAATGTGTGTTCAAGGTAGTTGAGTTCTTTTTCTATGTGGTTGTGGTATCATTCAATGTCTGTCTGTGCTTCTGTTTGTGTTTGTGTAGAAGGTTGGCTTTTCCTTCCACTGCATTTCTTGGAAGTTTTCATAAATGAACGCTATATTAGAAACACCCCCTGTCCCCCGCCGCATCACCTTCACCACTTTCCCACCCCTTTGTGGAGATGGAGAACCATTTTCACTAGATTCTGTCTGCTGCTTCCTCTGGTCTTCTTGGAGAGGTGAACAGGATGCACAGAGGCACACAGGGTTCTTCTGTTTCCCTTGTTCTTAGACCAGCAGCAACGCTATTTCCTTTTTCACCTTCGCTGGACTGTGGGTCCTGGGCATTGCTCCTCCCTCTGTGGTGACACGGCATGTCTGTGGACATCTTGTGGTTTATTCACCAGTCTCCTGTGGTGGACGTCAGACCGTTTCCAGTGTCTTGGATGACATGCAGTCCACCTTTTGCTTCTAGCTGTGACATAAGTCCCTAGAAGCAGGTTCACTGTTTGATGCACTCTGTTGAGTATCAGGTGCAGGTTCCTTATCGTGTGCTTCCCAGTCGGCCCCACTCCTGCCTCAGATCCTGCACACGTCCTGGTGGTGTGTGCCATTGCTCCTCCTGGATGTGGACGCTGATGCAGCAGTGCTGGGTCACAGAGGGTGTTTGCCTGCTTTGGTAGAGATGCCAGCCTTCTGTCGGGGCTGTGTCAAGTTGCCCTCCCACTAGTGTGACATGCAGCTCACTTCACGTCCCCACAGCAGTGTGATTTAACCACGACAGCCCGGACTAGGGCCCTGTCGCCTGCCCCACTGTGGTGGGCGGCCTGCATTCAGCAGGAACTATACTGCAGATCTGAGCTTGGACCTCCTCCCATGCTGGCAGCGTATGCCTCGAAGTACAGTCCTCTTGTGACGCTAGGTAGCTTGCCAGTCCAAACTCCAAGGGACACCCAGCACTCCAGCATGATGTGCCATAAGTCATGTGCTAAATGCATTTCCACCTACAGTGGGTCGACCTAGGAGCACCTGAGTTCTGTGGGTGTGGGAGCCCTATCCAGGACGTTCCCGTGTGCCTCTTGCTTATTGCATACCCTCATGCTGCCCCTGGTGAGTCATGTGCACAAGCTGAGCCTGATGGCACGCATCCACAGTCCTGGCTATTCAGGAGAGTAAACCAGCTTGGGCAACACAGTGAGACCATACCTCAGAAAAAGTCATGTGAACATGAAGTGTACATATCAAATTTTATTTTCATTAGATCCTACTACCATGCAGCTTTTTTCTTTGCTCTTTCGCCTGTATGATGAGAATGTTTTGTAAGCACAACTTGAGTGCACTGGGTCTTCTGGTATAAAACATAGTGCCACAGGCCTCCAACAGCAGATAGAGGTGTGTGCGGCAAGCAGGGTCAGCTGTAGTGCACCCTTTGCCTGCATGGTGTCTGCTCTGCCCTCCCAAGCCAGTCTGTGCAGTTTTCCTGCAGCATGTTTCCCCCCATTTAACAATGAGCATGTGGTAGAACTCTCCATTGTCGCATGTGTGTCTGTTCTTTTAGACAGCAGGTGAGTATGCTGTTGTATGAAAGCAACATCATTGCTCAGCCATTTCCATTTCCTTTTCATTTTATATCTAGGTTGAGTAGAAACCTTCTGAGTTTTGGATACGTGTAGGTTTTTTGAGTGCTGAGTATCAAACCCAGGGCCTTGTACAAGCTAGTCAAGACCTCTGCCACTGGGCTGGGGATGTGGCTCAAGCGGTAGCGCGCTCGCCTGGCATGCGTGCGGCCCAGGTTCGATCCTCAGCACCACATACCAGCAAAGATGTTGTGTCCGCCGAGAACTAAAAAATACATATTAAAAAAAAAATCTCTCTCTCTCTCTAAAAAAAAAAAAATCATGACACTTCTTTTTTTAAAAAAAAAAAAAAAGACCTCTGCCACTAAAAAAATATTTGTAACAGTTGTAAAAATTCATTTTGAGACAGGATCTCTCTGAGTTGCCCACGCTGGCCTTGACTTGTGATTCTTCTGCCTCAGATTCCTGAGTAACGGGGATTGCAGTGTGAGCCACTACTCCTGTGGATTTTAAGCTTTTTTTTGGAGATAAGGTCTTGCTGTTTGCCTAGGCCGACCCGAACTCCTTGGCTCAAGTGATCCTCCTGCCTCAGCTTCCTGAGTACTGAAACAGGTGCATACCACTGCACTCGGGGATTTTCAAATGTATTGTTAGTAAGACCAGGTAAAGCTAGAATAATTCACCTTCATTGGTAACTAAATACTAAATCACTGGTTCATTCTGCTTCTCCTGTTTTCTTGCCTCTGGAAAATCCCATTTTGAGATGAAGTTACTATATCCTGATAAAAAGTGCTGACTTTTTACATTTTTTATTTTTCTGACCCCTTTCAAAGTAGGGATTGAGTTTGGGGTGTGCAGTGTGATGTTGAGGTTCTGGTAGAACAGAACACTTCCTGTCTGCTGAAGCCTCCCACATGTTTCAGGTGTATGAAGCGATCGACACCAGAGATGGAGCATCCTGTGCAGAGCTGGTATCTTTCAAGCACCCTCATGTTGCAAACCCACGGCTGCAGGTGAGTACAGGGCTGTACACATGGCCTCTGAGAGAAGGGGGCAATGCCCGAGAGTTCAGAGTGCAAACAGAAGAGAAGGAATGCCGCCATTCTTGTCTGAAGACTTCATAGTTCCCTTACAGCCGACATCTTTCCACCCCATTCACTACAGTCCTGTGTGTGATCCCCACGCAGCTCTCTGGGGCCTGGAGCAGTGCTTTTTCAATCAGCGTCATTTAGCAGAAGGCAATGGAGCTTGGACTCAGTACAGACCTGGGTCCCCAGAGTCCATGTGCTGATGCCCCACAGGTGTCTGCCTCCTGGGCTCCCTGCAGAGGTGGGCCTCACACCCAGGCTTGGCCTGGGGACATGGTATAGCCTTGTACAGCAGAGCCAGGCTGCCTGAGTGGGGTTTCAGCTGCTCTCCTCCCCAAGTCACACTGAGCCCTGGGGCTGCAGAGCCTGGACATTTATCTGACCTTTTACAGCAAGCTCTGCCCACCTCTGAAAATACCAGAACCCTTAACTTAGAGTTTAAATGAGATCCAAGCATTATCTGTAGAAAATATTGTCATCATTGGGTAAAGCTCTGTTTCTTCACTGACTCTATTATAAAATTAGAGAACAGAGTTTCTTTTGGAAGAAACATGGGGCCACCTACCAGTGATGGTATTAGCCACATATAGACTGCATCTCAGACCCAGTGAGTGTGTCTCTAGGGTGACAGCAGGTTCTGTATTACAGAGCTCCCTGGATGGTTCTGATGGGTGGAAGGCATTGGGAACTGTTGCCCTAGGTGGACTCAGTGCTGGAGACCTGGCTTGGTGGCTGTGTCCCACTTCCAGGTGGCACACTGAGGGACTCAGATCTGTCTGTCAAACCCTGCAGAGAAGCAGAACCAGTAGAAATCTGTCTATCTGTACATTTCCCCCCCATATATATGGGAGAAGAGAGATTGTCAGAGGAGTTGGGGCTCACCACTGTGGGGCCTGAGGAGTCCCACGATCTGCGTCTTCAAGCTGGAGGCCCAGGAAAGCCAGTGTGTGGCTCAGTCCAAGTCCAGAGGCTGGAGGGCCGGGCCGTTGGGAACCCTGAGGCCAGCTCCTGCCCGCGTCCCTCTCTGTTCAGGCCCCAGCAGCATAGCTGTTGCTCACCCACGCAAGAGGTGCCACTAGTTCCAGTGCCAGCGTGACACTGGGGCCGTCAAGTATATGTGTAAAATTGACCTTCACACGTTGTGGTGCTCCACGTATCTAAAATCTGGCTGTTGGAAGGAAGGGAAAGGTAGAAATTCTCATCAGCCACTGGCTGGGATGCCCTGCTCCCTCCAGGAAGTCACAGAATGAGCCCTCACGGGCGGGCAGCGTTTCTGGCCAGTGAGGACTTGTTTGTGATGCACCTTGCTGTTAAACCTGTGGCCGTTGCTTAATAACCTGTGGCAGTTGCTTGACTGGCTGGCTGTCAGATGCTAAAATGCAGTGAAAGTGCCTAGAACATTTCCTGGCCTCTAGTGGGCAAAGCTGAGTGGTATCCATTGCGTCTTGGTCCCTGGAAGCACAGATGAATATTGTTGAGTCAATGAACCCTTTATTTAGAAGTGCTAAAACCTAAAGTATTACTACTGTGGATGCTGAGATTCTGAAACAAGCTTTTGTAAATGTAAGTGTCTTTCTGTACATTGTGCTCTTTCTGTGCTCATTAACTTTATTTTTGCCATTTTTTCATATAAATTAGATGGCTTCTCCAGAAGAGAAATGTCAACAAGTTTTGGAACCCCCTTATGATGAAATGTTTGCGGCTCATTTGAGGTAATTTTTGTTGAGGAAGAAAAGCAAACACAGCCAGAAACTGCTGAACTCACTAGGGATATTCTCTTGCATCACATGCTTGAAGCAATGAATAATTGACTGAAAAAGTAGAAGAGTGCATTTGTGATTTCACTTTGGGAAACCCTGTGAAAACTGGGTGTGTCTGTGGGTTCTGCTGTAAAGAGTCACCTGATACCTGTCACACTGACCGACCGACAGGGGTCTTTCATTGGTGGGTGGTGCAATCTGGCTCAGGACTTGATTTTTTTTCATGGAAATGTGTCTGCTTTTTAACCTGTTTGCCTTGCTGGGAAAAAAACTGGACTTGAGCAAAGCAAACAAAATACTGCTTTTTTATTGTGGGACAGGGTCTCAGGTTACCCAGGCTGGCCTGGGACTTGCCACCTTCCTGCCTCTGCCTCTGCCTCCTGCGTCCCTGAGTCCCAGTTGTGGGGAGGTGCTGCTGCTTCTCTGTCTCTGGAGCATCAGCTCAGGCAGCACATGGTCCTCAGTTCTCCACTTGCCTGCCTCTTGTGTCTCAGAGCAGTGCAGTGCTGGGAAGACAGGGCCAGAGGGCTGGAAGCCTGTACACCCTGCCGGTCTCTGGAAGAGTTGGGGTGCCACTGTGTTCCTTGCAGCGTGAGGCACTCTGACGTTTCCTGGCTCTGTGGCATGTGTAATGGTCCCAGGTGTGGTAACACAGAGACCGCGTGCCTGGAGGGAGCCCAGTGGAGCTCACCAACTCGGCTGCTGTTGCTCAGAACCTCTGGGACTCAGCAGGGGTCCTCTCGAAGCCTTGTAAGGGGTCTCACCTTGCAGCAGCTCCTGTGGGCCAGGAAGTCATCGGCATCTCCCTCCACCTGGCCTATCCTGCCAGCAGGAGCTCTAGCCTCCCTTCCAGGCCTGTTAGGGAGTCAGGCTGCTGGGGCAGGACCCAGCTCTGGCCTGGTGCCTAGCATCTGGGTTTCCCCGGGTGCATCCTTCCTGGGCCACTGTCCTCAGGCTGCATGTCTCTCTTCCAGGTGCACCTATGCTGTGGGGAACCATGACTTCATAGAGGCATATAAATGCCAGACGGTGATAGTCCAATATCTTTTGTCTGCGTGTAGCTGTGCAGCTTGGAACAGGTGCAGTGACTGCTGGGCTGTAGGTCTTGAAATGCTGGGCCAGTTCTCACCCCTGTAATTAGACAGAATAGAAGCATTTTGCAGGGAAAACTCATTTTAGCTCTTCCACTTGGCACCTGAGTTAAGACTCATCCAGTTATCTCTAGAAAATAGAAGAGCCCTAGTGAGAGGAGCGGTTTTATCCAGTTATGTTGAGAAATATCACATTTGTAAGTAAGCGGTAAGGGTAGTTACAGGGACTGGTTCAGTCCCCTGGGTGAAATACCTGAGGTCCAAGATTCAAGCTAGAGGGATGAGCGTGGATTGGATGCACACCCCCATTACTATGTGTGGTCCCAAAGTTCATGGTCTTGCTCAGCTCATTTGAGTGCTGTCCTATACTGATGGTGTTCTGGGTTCTGGCGTATAACCTAGGTTTAGCTTGCCTTTTAGAAAACCGTCTTGTTTAAGTATAGCTAGAAGATAGTGGGCTACTAGCCAAGTCTCCCTGGAAATGGTAAATAAATTATATCGTAGATTCTGAAGCACTTAAATATAACTTGTAACCATCTGGGCTCAGAAACCAAACACATTTCCTTCCTTCCTTCCTTTCTTCCTTCCTTCCTTCCTTCCTTCCTTCCTTCTTTTCTTCCCTCCCTCCCTCCCTCCCTCCCTTTTTGGTGGTGGGTGGTACTAAGGATTGAACCCAGAGGCTCTACCACTGAGCCTCATCCCAGCCCTTTTTTTTTTTTATTTTGAGTCAGGGTCTCCAGTTGATTAAGGCCTCTCTAAGTTGCTGAGGCTGGCTTTACACAAACCTCCTATCTCAGTCTCCTGGCTGCTGAGATTACAAATCTCAAATAATTTCTTTTTTTAAAATCTGATAAATGTCGTTCTTATTTTGGAGCAAGTATGTATGAAATAAACATATTTAGTATGCTTAGGCCTAATGATACACAGGTATTTGTAATGTGCACTCATATCTTTTTTTCTTTTAAAGGGTGGGATATAACGTAGGATTTGGAATCCTATTTTTTGTTGTTGTTGCTGTTTTCAATATGTAGTGTCATTACAGTTTCTACGTCAGACCTTCCTTAACTTAGTACATCATTTCTGCGGGCATTTCAGGCCCACAAAGAAGAAAACTGGTGAGTATGGACAGAAACAGTTGGAAATTAGTAAAGGGCATTTGGTGTTTGTGCTTTTGTTTTTATTTTTGTTTTTTGCAAAGTTTTTAAGAATTTGCTTAAAAGTACTAATGTGTTTTTCTGTAGAATTAATGGTAGTTGACATGATAGTATCAACATGGGTAATAGAATTATAACAATGTGTGCAAACTAAAGTGGCATTATCTTGCAGTATACCTTATTTCAGCCCTTCCTTGTCCCCAAAATTCCTTAAATACTAATTTTTTCCTTAAGTTGTTCATTTTGAGCTTACTTTTAGTTTTAACTTAAAAAAAGATAGACCAACTATGTAGTTCATTGGGGCAATATACACAGTAATTGGGTTAAATTCCTTGACAAACTGATTTCTAACTTCGAGATCTAGTTAAGATCCGTTAGGAATCTGTGGGTGCACACATTCTTCTGTACTAGACTGGCTGAGGTCCTTTACAGCAGGCAAGCCTTCCTCTCTAAATGAGGGCCTTGCTTTCACGTGGAAGGAAGTCAGTACTGTCCAAGATGGGCACAGAGCTGTTGATGACGATGTGTATGTCACACCATCAGTGTCCTTTTAGGAAATCTTACTGAGCTGCCTCTTTTTAAACAGTGCTGTTTGCCAGTGCAGGGAGTGGAGGGGATGGGCGGTGTCCCGAGATTCCCTGCGGGGCAGTGTCCAGGCCCTGATTAGGGCTGGCCAGTGATTTGGAGCTAGCAGTGGGCCTTTGGCCTCTAGGTTGGCCACAAACAAGGCTGCAGCTGCCTGGGTGGCAGGTGAGGAAGCAGACAGTGGCATCAAGTTTTGGGGGCAGATGGCAGCCTGGCACCAGTGTCCCCCACCTCTGAGGAAAGCCTGGACTTGTGGCCTCTTCAGACACGTCTGCTGTTTCCTCCGTAGGGCTCTACCAGTCATGTATGCGGTAGCCCTGGACCTCCGTGTGTTCGCCAACAACGTGAGTGAGTTCCCTGTCCCTGCTGTTTTAGAACTGCAGCCCTGTGATTGCTACTGCGTTTCATGTTCGTCTCCCCACAGTGTTGAGGAATGAGTGGGAGTGGGATGCATTGGGGTGGGTAGCAAGAGGGGTGGCAGCGGGGTTAGGGTTAGGGTTAGCATTAGGGTTGCTTCTCAGGGTTGTGCCGACAGGCTTTGGTCATTTACTGAATGTTCCCTGTTAGTGTGGAGGGAAGTACTGTCTGGGGCTACCCATGTGTCAAGTGGGTTGCTTTTCCTTAGGGTGGAGCAATAGCAATGAGCAGTTCTACATCCTTTTACTTGTAAGATAGGGCCTGTCTTAAGGCACTCCAGCTGAATGTAGGTTAAACAGCTCCCGGCTCTTGTGGCACGCAAGGAGAAGGCCCTGGATTTCATGGGGTGACGTCCTCTCCAGGAGCAGCACAGCTGGCTGTGAGTCAGAGCTGCCCATTCTTTGTCTTGTGGACAGCTCCCAGCTGCAGACCCGACGATTCGCTCAGACTCTGCCCTTTCCTCCTGCTCAAGCCAGTTGTTGCCCTAGGAATTTTCAGCCCGTGTGGCTCCGAGCGGCAGAGGTGAAGGGGCTGGGACTGACGGTGGGGAGCATCCTTTCACCTTCCGTCTGTCCAGGACAGTTCCAGGGAAGCCCAAACATGGAAGTGCCCACAGAGACAAAAAAGCCCCACAAAAGTTAGGACAGGGCAGATAGCCTGGCACCATTTGCTGTGTGCCACGCACAGGTTTACATGTCTCCCCCTCAGCAGGGCAGTGGGGTCAGCTAAGGCCTGTGGAAACGGGTAGATGAGGCCTGAAGTCTGGCATAATGCCCCAAGGTCTGGGGTATGACTGAACATTGCTAATCACATCAAGGATCAGGGACATGTCAGCTTCTCAGGATGTTGGATGAGAAAGGTCGTTTGCCAGTCCCCAGCCCTGAGATGACAACAACGTTTGGAATCATCTGTTGAAGTCTGTTTCACTGTTCTTGGTGCTAGGGACGGCAGCCAGGGCCTCCGCGGTGCAGGCCAGTGCTCTACCACAGCCCGCCCCTGGCGATTTTAGAACAAGGTGTGAAATGCCTCTGGGGCAGTTATGAACACCGGGAACAAGTGAGGGGGCCAGTCTCGGCAAGGGAGCCGAAGATGGAAGACCCAGACAAGAGGAACAAACGTTCTGAGCAGAGTGGCACCTTGTGCATCTTAAGCCCATACCACCCGGCTCCAACAGGAGCCCCCTGGAATCCTTGTCTCGCACCCACTCCCTGCCCGGCAAAGGCATTTGCAGCGCATCCATGGGGAAGGGAGGCCTGACGGAAAAGGGAGGCATACATTAGGACACTGTGTCAAAACTCTGAGACCAGCTTTGTGAAGCTTGCTACAGTGTGGCCCGAATTGTTTCCACTGGAGCATTAAAACCACTGGCCTGGCCTGTGCTTGAACAGATCTTATCCTCCTGCATGATTTTCATCTTCAGTGTGTCTTAGTTCATGCAGGCTGCTATAACAAATCATGTGGCTGGGTGGCTTATAAACATCAGACATTTATTTCTCACCGTCCTGGAGATGGGGAGTCCTAGGTCAAGGGGCCAGCAGATGGGGTACCTGTGAAGAGCCATGGTCTGGTCCATAGCCAGGTCTTCTTGCTGTGTCCTTGTGTGGTGGATGGGTCAAGGGAGCTCTTGGGGTCTTTTACAAGGGCACTGACCCACCACGAAGGCCTGCTCTTAAGCCCTTTTGGGTGTGGTTATACAGCAGATCCAAATGTTGACACTTGGTTAGGTAAAACAAACAAAAACAACTGAAACAAAATAGCCCTGTTTGTGCATCAGCGAAGTCTTGGGGAGTAGGAAGCTGCGTCGCTCAGTGGTTGAAAACTCTTCCTGCAGTTCTGGCTTTTCCCTAGAAGCACGGCTGTTGTCGCTGGCTGCTGACACCGTCACTTGTTTGCCTGCAAGTGGCAGGCTTGTTGGTTCTCTTTTGAGAGCGTGGTGTGCAGGGCCCACTCCTGGCCCAGCCTGCAGATCTGGCCACTTCCCAGTACTGCTCCTGGGGACAGCCATCAAGGCAGGGCGGCAGGGTGCTTGCTGCACTTCCCAGACAGCACAGGGAGTGGTGAAAATGTGAAGTTGGTAGCATTCTGCAGGGGAATGGGCTTGGCTGGCCGGGTTGCAGGCATGTGCTGGTGTGGAGGGTGCGGGATGCTGGTGAGCTGCGGGACGGCTCAGCCTGTCCTGCCACCCTGCTGCACCATCCACACAGACGTCAGGACAGGAGGAAGGGACTGTGGCCTGGTGTCTTCCTGAGGATGGCTCTCAGCTCATAGACCCTCCACAAGAGGAGGAGGAGATTGCTCTGGAGACTGGGGAGCGAGGCCCTTGGTGACAGCTGACACCCCCTTCCTCTCCCGCTGGTGCGTGTGGGCCAGAGGTCGGCAGGGTGCCAGCCATGGTACGGCCATGACAGCTTGTAGCGCAGATCAGGAATCTGGGCAGGGGCAGTTGTGATGCGAAGACCCCTCAGGTTTCAAAACTACAGTCATGTCCACCAGACCTCGTCTCCCTTTGGGATTGTAGCTCTTAATTGTACGCGTTTTTGTGTTCCATTAGGCAGATCAGCAGTTGGTGAAGAAAGGAAAGAGCAAAGTTGGGGATATGTTGGAAAAAGCTGCTGAGCTACTGATGAGCTGCTTTCGGGTCTGTGCCAGTGACACGTGAGTCGGGGTCCTGGGTCCTGGGTCGCCACAGGCCCTCCCTGTCCCTCCCTGTCGGCTTGCTGTCTGCTGTCGGCTTTGCACCTGCCTTAGGCCCCCACACCACGTGACTTTGGCTTTGAGAAGCATTTGTTTTGTAAAGGAGAGAAAGGCCCCTCCCAGGCGGCCTGCTGCTGGCTCTGGGGCTTGTCTGCAGGCCGTCCCTCTCTGAGCCTCCTCTGCACTGGCTCCCAGGCAGGCCTCCCTCTGGCAGGAGCTTCCCTGAGCTTTCCTTTGTATTGTCTGCCTTCAGTCGGCTGAGCACCCACCCTCCCTGTTGCGCCCTTGTTAGAGGCGGCACCCACCCTCTGCCTTGCAGGGAAGGGTCTTTCTCCCTGGCAGGTTTTCAGTGAGGTGACCCTGCTCTGCCTACTTGGGTTCAGTTTCTCCTGTTTAGGGCCCATGTATTTTCTGGGATTAGTAAGTTTATGTTTTTTATTAGGTTTTTAAGTTTTTGCATTCTTTTATTTTTCAACTTTTAAAAAAAATATCGTCCCTTCATTCTGGGCAATTTGTGTTGACCTGCCTGCAGGGTGGCTGCTCTTAGTTGCCATTACTTACCTTTTTAATTCTAGACTTTCTATCTGATTTTATTTTAGAGTTTCCATTTTTCTCCTAAAATTCCATCTCTTTATCCATCTTACCACGTTTATTGGATTGTGAATTTTAGGAAATCACGTCTGTGTCTCTGTCATCTCTGTCTTAGGTATACACTTATATTTTTTCTGTTTTTACTGAGGCAGGGTCTCACTCAGTTGCCCAGCTTGTCCTGGCCTTAACCTTGCGATCCTTCTGCCTCAGCCTCCTGGGTAGCCAGGATCACAGGCATGGCCCCTGCGCCTGGCTTGGAAATTGTTATATAAACAAAGAAAATGGTTCCCAGAAGGGCTTCCAGCTTTCAGTTTCCCTCTCCTCACCCTCCCGAGCCCAGCCTCCAGCCCATTCCAGGGCAGCTGGGTGGCAGGGGGCCCTTCCTGTCTCTGCCTGAGCCGTTCCTCACCGCAGCACCCTCCTTCCTGCCCCCGTGCTGCAGTCCTGGCTGGCCGCAGGACTCCCACCCAGGGCCCCTGGCAAGGCCTGCTCACAAACCCTCATGGCACCCCGCTCCTCGTTCCCTGTACCTGAAGACGGCTCTGGTCTGATGGTGAATTGGGGTGTGTTGCTTCACCTCACACCAGGGTGCCCCTCGCACCTGGAGCTCGATGAGCACTCGGTGGTGATCCTCAAGGCTGGGTGCCTTTGACGAGGCAGTGGCTTCTCAGGTGGGACGCCCAGAGTTTAGCAGCTGAAGGGGCCTCACGTGGCGGGCCTGGCGTGGATGAGAACTTGTGCTGTAGAGGACACTGTCCCAACAGTGAACAGCCACCTTAACGTGGGGGAATCTGCAGATATCTACTGCGGGTCTCGTGTCTGGCACACACAGAGAACTGCTGCAGTCAACAGTAAAAAGAAACGGGTTTGAAGGACAAAATATTAGAAAAATCTTCCAAAGAAGATCTGCAAATGGCGGGGAACTCATGCAGGTTGCTAGGCCAGGCCACAGCGAGCTGCCACTCCATCCCCGGGGTGCTCTGGTCAGAGATGGCAAGGACAGGTTAGGAGAGGCTGTGTCCCTGGTGGGCGAGGGCTCTGGGAACCTCAGCTTCCTCAGAGGGCCAGTGGCACCTCAGAGTCACCAGGTGGCCCTGCAGTTCCCCCTGGCTGCATCCAGAAGAGGGCAGCGGCCAGAGGCGGTTGACCTGGTGCCTCGCAGAACACTCTGCTCGCTGCCTGGCTGCCTGGCCGAGGTTTTGAAGTGATGGTGTTGCCCTTCTCTCCTGTCACACTTGGAGGGAAACCCAAAGAGCAAAGGCCTCTTCTGCAGGCCACAGCCCTGTCATGGTCAGAGCCCAGGGAGAGCTGTCGTAGCAGCCCACCAGGTGCCGTCCCACAGGCCGACGGTGCTGCTACGCTCAGCGTTGCTGGTGGGCACATAGGTCCTGGAGCAGCCTGTTCCCCTGCCCACGAGCAGCGTGTCTTCTGTCCCACGCCTCGCTCTTGGGTTGGCATTTCCGACAGCCCTCCACCGGGCCTCGCTCTGGCGCCCCCTGGACAAGCTGTGTGGCAGGGGAAGCGCTGCAGAGAGATGGTGCACGGCTGAATGTTAAAACACCCCACGACACTGGAAGGGCCCTCAGGGACGCCACCCTTCTGTGAACTCTCTGCTCTTGTCTCACACACCCTCTTTTGATCTGTCTCCATCGTCTTGTTTCACAGTCTCTTGGCACATGGTGCAGTTGCCTCAGGGGCTGGGGTTTCTCCTTGTCCCTTGAGGTGGATGTGCAGGGCAGGTCTGCATGGAGCCCGTGCAGCCCTCTGCCCCCCCCCACCCCGGGCCAGGCTGCTGTGCCCCCAGTGCTGCCTCCACCATGCTCGGGGACCCAGGGAGCTTTTGTGCCAGCTGAGACACCTCAGGAGGCCCCTGTGCCTTCAGGAGTTCATTCTGTCCTAGTGACAAGAGAAGATGCTTCTCACCTTCAGAAAAGCTCCCGGCAGGAGCTCTGATGTAGTGCTGCAGGCTGCCTTTTTAGTGTCACCTGTTAGATGTCTGGTGAACGTGACCGCTGTCAGCCCTCAGGCAGCTTGTTCTGTGACTTGTGACTGTTTCCTCTGTGACGTTAAGAACTTCATCTTCCCACAGTCGTGCTGGCATAGAGGACTCTAAGAAGTGGGGGATGCTGTTCCTGGTGAATCAGTTGTTTAAGATCTACTTTAAGGTATGCTTCTGCTGGAGTCTCTGTGAATCCCTTCCGTCTCCCCGTTATGCCTCTGTCGCAGTCCGTGGTCAGCCAGCCCACCTATCACGCATGGGAGGGGCGGGGCTACATCCGTGGTTCTCAGGGCCGGCCCTGCCACGTGCTTCTCCAGTGTCTGACTTAAGAGAGCCCCGGGAGGCCTGTACTCCCAGCCAGAGGCCCTCCTGGCAGCGCTGGGCCCTCCGGGGCGGTGGCAGCTCTGAGATGGGCGTGGGCGAGAGTGGGCTGGAGGCTAACACATCCTTACTGCCCAGAGCCAGCCAGTGAGGGCCCTCGGAATGCCCGTGGCTGGCCTTGTTCCCCCACTCCAGGGGCCATAGGTCTGACCTAGAAGCTCCTGCCAGCGTGGCCTTCCTCCCTTGGCAGCTGCTGCAGCTGCAGCTCCCTGCAGCCATGGCCTCAGGGCTTCCAGGAGGCGGTTGGTTCTCCCACCTGCCTGCTGTGGCTGTTGTTGTAAACAGACATTTGTGACGGACTGTTATTTGTTATAGATCAACAAACTCCATTTGTGTAAACCCCTGATTAGAGCCATCGACAGCTCCAACCTGAGAGACGATTACAGCACTGCCCAGAGGGTGACGTACAAGTACTACGTTGGACGCAAGGCCATGTTCGACAGTGACTTTAAGCAAGGTGAGCTCTGCTCTCCCTGGCGGGCACTGGCCAGCCTGGCTGCCGGGGCTTGCTTCAGAGAAGCTCCTAGTCTCTCCGTCCTTGGGGACGTCCTTTCTGAGGCAGCTGAGTGTGACTTTCTCCAGTTTTCTCTCTTTGCCTTTGTCTCTGGTGCGTGCAGGTTGTGCCCTGCAGGCAGAGGCCACCAGGGTGGCACTCCGCCTGGCTGCAGCCCAGCCCAGCGAGCATTGGGGGCCCTGGGCACAGGCCAGATTTCACAGAGGCTGCGTGTGACGGCACTCGCGCCCCAGTGCCTTCTTGGACAGAAGCACTTTTTCAGGCCCCTTGCCGTGTCTTCTGCCCACCATGTCTTCTGGGTGCCCAAGGCACACTTTGGAACTGTCAACACTTCCTCTCACACCCGAGAGTCCAGGGCACAGCATCCTGCAGGCCACAGGCAGCAGCAGCACTCTCATACCCTGGTCTGTGGAGTCAGTCCTGGGCTTCTGTGGGCGAGCTTTTCAGTTTTCCACGTTTCAGTAGCCTCTGAGGAAGGGCTTCCTGGGGTCTTCCCTTGTCTCTGTTTTCCCCTTAAAATAGGAGCATCAGGGAGGCACTTTCAGTCACATTGCCTTGGGTTCTACCAGGGTAGCCACGTGGGCCTCCTCTGAGGTTCACTGAGCAGCAGTTTTGGATACCCAGGAGCCAGCAGTGATTACTGGTAGCAGTGCCAGGTGGCCCTTGTCTAGGACCCTGACAGATGGAGCGTTCCTCAAGCTGCTCACCCAACTCCTTCGTCTTCTGTAAAGACCCAAGCGTCACAGAGGCTGGGTTTTGGATGCAGAGCTGCTCTGTGTGCCTCAGAAGCCTGTGCTAGCCTGTCTTCTGCCTGGTGGCCCTCGGTCTTGGCTCCCCTGGCTCTGCTGGGAATTCCTGCTGCCCTTGGTGCGTTGAACTGGATGAAGCGCCTGAAGCGTGAGACATTCTCACAGCTTCTTGTGACCACATTGCTTATGGAAAGAGGGAGTATTCAGAGTGTCTTGGTTGTTGGCCACACATTTCTTCAATTATGATTTCAGGTGCTCATACCTCTCGAGGTGTCTTTGGCTCTAAGTAAAATAGAGGTTTTGTGCAAAACATCTGAAGTGCCCTGGATGACAGCAGAAAATCACAGTGGATTGTTAGAAATGCGTTACTGTGCCCTGGGGATTTGGACTTGGTTGTCTTGGGCATTGGTACAGTAGCACATCTCTGGGGCAGTGGCCATTGTCTGATGTCAGGCTGTGGGATGTGCAGGCTTCATAACCCTGTAGGGCTCCTGTGGGCTCAGCTCCTGGCCATGGCAGTCTTGCTCCCCGTGTAGAGTGGAAGTTGATTTTGCCAGGCACGGCGTGTTGCTCACGAGTGGAGGCAGAGGTGCTCAGTGCAGACCTCCTGGGCCAGGGTCTGCCGCCCAGCGAGGGAGTCTGTGTCAGATGGGTCCTCCTGGTTCTGAGGGTCTCTGGGCCATTGGGTGGGGACTTGGTGCTGTCCAGGAAAGACTGCTGTGGCAGGCCGTGTGCTTCTGTGTGAACCCCTGGCTCCCCAGTTCCTGAGCCACGTTCACATCACAGGCCCCCCAGGTCCTGTCCTGCCACCTTAGCTGCAGGCCGGGGAGGAGTCTGTGCTCCTCCAGCTCGTCCAGCTTTCTGACAAGTCCCCACTTAGGACACAGTGCTGTGCAGTCAGCAGGTGAACCCTAGTGGAAGAGGCTTCTTGGTATTCCAGCGTCTAGCCGTTCAGCTCCGACTTCCATGAGACACAGGACAGCACCTCGCCAGCCCACGGCCAGTGCTCACGCACTGTCGTCTTCAGGAAGGCGCACGCGAGGCTCTGAGCTGCACGCGAGCTTCAGGGGTGGTGCTGAGCATCTGCTGGGCCGTGGGTGGCTCGTCTGCCTCGGACCTCTGTCTTCCCGTGTCGGGCTTTCCGGGCTGACTGTGTGGTTCCCACCAGTCCCTTCCTGCACTACCCTCCACGCCACAGGCCTGCCCAGCCTTCCTGGGGCTCTGGAGTCACGGGACATGCTTAAGAAGAACTGCTGGGGAAGGAGTGTAGCCAGGCTACGCTGGGCCACGGGCTTCGCGGCACTGAAATGAGAACGCTCGCCTGGCTTCAAGCCTCGCAGGGGGTGGGAGCTGGAGGGGCTGGGCCATGGCGGCCTGGCCTCCGGACTGACCTGGCCGGCTCTCCACAGCTGAGGAGTACCTGTCGTTCGCCTTTGAACACTGCCATCGCTCCAGCCAGAAGAACAAGAGGATGATCCTGATCTACCTGCTCCCCGTGAAGATGCTGTTGGTGAGCGGCTGTTCCTCTGCAGCCCTGTGGGCTTGCAAGGGTGCCAGGTGGGCCGAGCCAGCACTTCCAGGCCCTCCCAGCAGAGCTTTGCTGTGTTTATCTCCCAGCAGTGACAAGCCCCAGCGTTCACACTAGACATGAAACAAGTGTGTGCCGTTTTCATTCCTCCCCGAGGGCCTCGGTGCACAGCAGAGGGCTAAGCAAGAAAGCAGAGTGCACTTGCAGTCTGCCTGGGGGGTCTCAACAGAAGAGCCCGCCTGAGGAGTCGGGTGGCACTGCCCACAGTGGGGAGCCTCCTTCCACATCTGGATGAAAGTGGCGTTGCCCAGGGTGCTTTGTGGTGACAGCAGCTGTGCTGCCACGCCCTCCCCATTCCCGCCCTCCTGTGGAGAGCAGGGGTGACGTCCTTCTAAGTCCAGTGCGTTTCCTGGTGTCCATTTATCCTAAGTGATAAGACACATAGAAGGTTGCCCTCCTGCGGTTCCCAGGTCTCCTGGTTTTTACTTTCCTTCCTATGCCCTGATGTGTTTAATCCTCCGTCAGCTGCTTCAGGAGTTGTAAGGAACGGGGCTTGATTGACTCAGATGACTGTCCCTGAGGACAGGCTGCTGGAGTGGCAGCGCCTGTGGGGAGCTAACTCTCTGTCCTAGGGCCACATGCCGACGGTGGAGCTCTTGAGGAAGTACCACCTCATGCAGTTTGCCGACGTGACCCGAGCTGTCAGGTAGGTCCCCCTCTTCCTGCAGGAGCCAGTGGGCAGAGGTCGCGCACTGCCCATGAGGGTGGCGTTGACTCTCTCCCGGCCTGCCCCACCAGCGAGGGCAACCTGCTCCTGCTCAACGAGGCGCTGGCGAGGCATGAGACCTTCTTCATCCGCTGTGGCATCTTCCTCATCCTCGAGAAGCTCAAGATCATCACCTACCGGAACCTCTTCAAGAAAGTGTGAGCAGGGCGCACGCCCGGGCAGGTGGTGGGGGACACACCTGGGGCTCACTGCCACACCGGCTCAGGCCTGGCTCGGGAGTGGTGGCAGCCTTGCCCTGTGGGCAGCACGGTGCCCACTGCTCCTGTCTCGGAGGGCAGCCAGCCAGCCTCGTGGTGACTGGTGTGTCACAGGGGAGATACCAGGGCTGCTCTTCTGGGGCCTATAGCCATAGGCTCTCGAGGTTAGGCTTCAGACAAGGCCGACCTTCCTCCAGTGTGGGTAGGCTGTCAAAAATGGCATCACCTGAGCCTGCAGGATGGGCAGGCACATCCTGGTGTCAGAGCCACTGACAGTAAGAACCTCAGCCTCAGCGAGAGAGTCACCAAGTGTGTAAATGTTCTGTTTGTACTAGCAGGTTTTATTTTTTTTTCCACAAGGAGTACCAGGGATTGAATTCAAGGGCACTTGATCCCTGAGCCACTTCCTCAGCCCTATCTTGTATTTTACTTAGAGACAGGGTCTCACTGAGTTGCCTAGTGCCTCACTTTTGCTGAGGCTGGTTTTGAACTTGAGATCCTCCTGCCTCAGCCTCCCAAGCCACTGGGATTACAGGCTTCAAATAGGAAAGTCAGATTATATTTCATAGTCTTATTTGTAGACTGGTGTTTCAGAATATATATAGTTAGTAAGTGGAAACATGCTTTATTCCTTCTGAACCCTGGTTCATTGCAAAATGCCTCTCTGTCTGGCTCCCAGGCCTCCTCCTGGCCTTTGAAGTAGCCCATTGTCGGGAGCTGCAGTGTCCTGTCTTCCCTCTTGCAGGTATCTGCTGCTCAGAACACACCAGCTGTCTCTGGAGGCCTTCCTGGTCGCCCTGAAGTTCATGCATGTGGAGGACGTGGACATAGATGAAGTGCAGTGCATCCTGGCCAACCTGATATACATGGTACGTGGGCCTCGCAGCTGCTCCCAGTAGGGTGATCTGGAATTCAGAGCCTTCATGTGGTGGTGGTGAATTTAGTGAGCAGCCTTTTGCCTTTGCAAAGGTATTTTGTCGTAGAAATACCACCCACAGGGCCCTTGGGCATGAGGGTGGGTGGTGCTTGCCCCCATCAGCTGAGCTGCGCCAGGACTGCTGCAGACTGCTCATGCCCGGCACCTTGGCTGTGATTTGGGTTCGGAAGTGCAAACCAGGTCCTCTTTTCTCTCCTCCAGGGTCACATTAAAGGCTACATATCCCATCAGCATCAGAAGCTAGTTGTCAGCAAGCAAAACCCATTCCCTCCGCTGTCGACGGTGTGCTGAGGCTTGCAGGACCTCTGGGCAGAGAGTGGCTCTCATCTGCAGCTGTCTTGGGCTGCAGTCAGCTCTGCAGCTGGAACCTTCTGGGTGCCTTCCCAGGGTGCTAAGACCAGTTTGCCCACACCCTGAGCATCCTGAGCCCCTTGGCGCTCTGTGAGTAGTGGCAGCGTTGGGGCTCCTGAGGGAGGCCTGGGGCCCGCAGCTCGCTCTGCTTCCCCAGTGTTGTCACAGAGGCCATGTTTGTGACTTTTTGTAGCTCTTTCTATAAAAAGGATATTTTGAGTTGTTATCTTCTAAGATGTGTCTGTTTTCATTAAATCTGAATCTTCATGTGATTGGAGTGCTGGGCTCACTTAGGGTGTCTTTTTAGAAGCAGGGTTTGGTTTGACTGTTTTCCAGCTCTCACAGCTTGTGCAGGGGCCTGCTCAGCTGCCACAGGCTGATCTGCCCCCGGCATAGGAGCTGTTTCCTGGGTTCTAGCAGCAGGAGGCCTGAGAGCAGGCACTCGAGGCTCCCGCCACAGCCCTCCTGAGCTGCAGTGGCCGTCCTTTGCCTTTCAGAGACATGATGTCTGTCCTTCTTTCTCTTCCAGGACCGAAGTCCCGCTGGTCAGGACTTCCCCCTACAACTACCTGTAACCTTAGTTACCTCCAGAGACCCTCCTCAGGCTGTCCCCCTGGGTCGGGCACACGTAGCCCTCAGCTCTTCCAGTATGTGCCCTTCCTGTTTATGAAATGCCAAAGAGGAAAGCTCCCACGTTGGGAGCTGCAGAGAGAAGCATTCTAGAGTGCGTGGATTCCCTCTTGCTCCAGGGGCCATGTGGCTCAGAGCTCGCTCTGCCTGGGCCCCACCAGTGTCCTCCTGCTGGGCTCTGTGGTGTGGAGCACAGCGTCCTTCCTTTGCTCATAACCCTGCAGTCTGGTCAGGACGTGCCTGCGGTGGGGCAGAATGGCACTGCACCCACAGCAGTCAGGGAGCAGGGACAGGAGCGCATGTGCAGAACAAGAGTCGTGATATCAGCCCCTTCCAAATTATGAGTCCCCCAAAAGGGTCACTGCACTGATGGGTCACGGCTCTCACATAGCTCACGGTCTGATTTCACCTCTGGACCTGCCTGCATTATCACAGGAGGTAGTTTTTGTTTTATTTTGTTCTATTTTTGTTTTATTTTTTGAGAGGCAGGGGCTCATGTCCAGACCACAGCTTGACCTGTCTGCTGAGTCTAAGCTGGCTTCCAGCTGAGTGTCACCTGTGACGGCGGGTACAGGGGGGTATGAGCCTGCAGATTCCTGCTCCATGGAGCTGTGGCCGGGTGTGGCCTCTTGCTGTTGAGCCCTGGGCTGACCCATGGCTTCCCCCCACTCTTCATGTTCCCAGGCCTGCTCTCCTGCAGAGCTGCCGGTGGAAATCTAGTCCTCCCGCTGGGAGCAGGGCCATAGGCACCCTGCAGCTTCTGATCAAAGTGATGCTCTCGTGGCAACCTGTCGGAACGTCTGTGAACAGCCCTGGGTTTCATTGTGCTCAGCAGCAGGAGAAGGCTAAGGCTTGTCAGCGTCTCCAGGTGGCTCACTGAGCAGCAGTGACACCCCCAGCCAGGGACTGACGGTGGGAGGTGGACACGCTGCACTGAGCAGTGGAGGGACCGCAGTGCGCAGCAGCGTGTGTGGACCACTGGTGTCCAGGCCTGTGTGCAGGGACAACACCAAGGAGTTGGGCTTGATCCTTGCTAGGAGTGCCCTGGTTTGGCCCTTTTTCTTTAATTTTTAATACCACAGCCCTTTCGTATTTTATATGGAGATCTGGTCTACATTGCTGGGGCTGGTCTGGAACTTGCCATCCTCGTGCCTCAGCCTCCCAAGTTGCTGGGATTTCAGGGATGCACCACTGGGCCTCACTAGTTTGGCCCTTTTAAAGCTTATCATAGCCAAGTTTTTGTTGCTCCTCTTAGAGACAAGGTCGTGGGGTGGAGTGATGATGGGAGCCACCGGCTGTTGCAGCAGAGCACTCCTCCCAGGCACCACTGTCTCCTGTCCGGGTGCTCTTGGGCCTCCCTGAGCTGCCTCTCTGCAGTGCTCCTCTGGGGAGGGCCTCCTCCTCCCTCACTGGCTTCCAGTTGCTCCTCCACCCAGAGCAACTGTGTGACTGTTGCTGGCTGAAGCAGGCAGAATCGGGGGTGTTCTGCTGAGCCAGCTGCTCTCAGGCTTCTGTTTTGCTTTAGCTTTTTTGCGACTGTGACTAAAAGACCCAACCAGCACAATTCCAGAGGAGGAAGAGTTTATTTGAGGGTTCATGGTTTCAGAGGTCGCAATCTATAGAAGGCCGGCTCCTATTCCTCAGGGCTGGAGGGGAGGCCGATCATCATGGAGCAAGAGTGTGGCCGAGGGAAGCAGCTCACCTGGTGATCAGGGACAAAATGTATGCCCCGTATACACACCCCCATGCCCCGCTCCTCAGCCACACCCCACCTGCCTCCAGTCACCACTCGGTCACCCCCTCGGGGGTCAATTCACAGGTCAGGTTAAGCTGTGGCCCAGTCACTCCTCCTCCAGACCTTGCCCCCTCTCACCCCACATGCAAACCTTGGCCCATTCCCAGGGGTGGACCTGCTGTGTGTCGTCAAGGCACGTTCACGGACGGGACACCACCAGAGCCTGGACTGGGAGAGGAGGCGATGCCAAGACCAGGAGGGTTTATGCTGACAGGTTTTTTGTTCCACTTAAGAGTCTGGGCTTTTTGCAAGGTCTCTGGGCGAAAAGTTCCAAGGAAAGAGCACCACAGCTTGCTGCAGCGGCCTGGCAGGTGTTCGGGCCCCTCCCAGCCCTTCTCCCTGTCTTGCCCGTGGCCTGTGTCTTGGTGCTGGCTCTCTGTTTAAACCAGTCCGAAAAGGCCCAAGGCCAAAGCCCATCCCAAAGAAGTGTTAATGAACAGCCCCTAGCAAACTTGAAGGTGCTGACTCAGAAGTCCTTCCTGCCCAGATTACTTCTTTGGCCCACCTGTGTCCCACCCCTCGGGCCTTCCCACCTACATTCCATCACCAAAACTATAAAAAGGGGAGACAACAGCCCTTCCATGGATTCTACCTCTTGGGTCCCCTTCTTCCTCTGGGAGAAGAAGTCTTTTCTGCTGTCCTTTAATAAACTTCTAATTTCTACTCTGACCTTGCCTCGGCGTGTGCTTTTCTGGTGTTATTCATCAACATTGGGGAAGCATGGACTCGTCACCGGCCAACAGTGGTAACAAAACAACACCAGTTAGGTCTCACTGAGGCTTGTGTGACACCCTGAGCACATGCTTGTTGTCAGCAGAGTTCTTGCATATTATAACACACTACAGAAGTCTGGCTTTGGGACTTGTTAACTTGACCTTCAAAAAATTAATCTGGACATAAAGAGGTCTTGTGGGTTTGCAGGATTTGGTAGCAGTGAAATCAGGGGGCTGGGGCTGGGGCCAAAGCCAGCCAGCTGGTGTTTGTCTCCTGCCCACCACTGACACAGATACCAGACCTGTAGCTCAGCAGGTCTAAGCTTCTGTTTGCTGAGGTATTCATGGGGGAGAAACCTCCCAGCGGGCTGGAGGGCAGGCTGGTGATGTGCACCAGCCAGGGGCGTGGGAGTGCGTGGCCTTGCTCAGCCTCTGCAGCACGAGGGACTGCCTGCTCTGCTCGGGCCCAGTGAATCAGACTGTTGAGAACAGCGTCCAGGTCCGCTCCTAGAACACAGGGCTCTGGGTGCTCAAGGTCTGCAGCCTTCAGGGTCACCAGGCTCACGAAGCAGAAGCATGAAATGATGAGAATAAGGACCGACCATGGCCAGGACTGCTGCGGGCATCGCAGACACTCACGGTAAAGCTGCAGTCGAGATGCGCCAAAAGTCAAGCAGAAACTGAGAAGATGTGGAAGGCCTACCATATCCGGCTCTCAGGTAACAGCTGTGAGGTGTGCACAAAGGGTCACGCAGGCTGGACACTGCGGGAATGACCAGAGTGAAACTCCCAGAAAGGAGATGCCCCCACACAAGCGGGCACCACGGGCATGGGCCTCCGACACTCACCACACCTGGGCTTAGAGTCTGCAAAACGGCGTGGGTGGGGGGCAGGCAGGAAACAGTAGAAAGGTCAACCGCCAGAGTGCTCCCCAGTTCGATTTAAAGTACAGGTCAAGTACCCCTTGCCCAGGAATCTGAAATGCTCCAAAACCCAGCGTTCTCTGGCTCTGCCACGACACTCAAGTTTTGTATTTTGAAACATTTTAAATTTTTGGATTAGAGATGCTCAACCAATAAAGAACACGTAAAGATTCCAAAATCTGCAGAACTTCAAAATGGAAACACTGTGGTCCCAAATAGAGCAGATGGGTAGCAAATGCGCACAGTCAGCAGACGCAAGACCTGAGTGTGGGGAGAGGGAGGCAGCCGAGGCCGCAGGATGCAAGAGGGACCAACCGTGAGGAGGAGATCCGGCAGTGGCAGATGCAGGAGGCACCGCCCCCCTGTAGGCAGAGAAGGGAACGCAGCCCAGAGCCTGGGGTCCAGGGTAGGAATGGAGACCCTCCAGGCAACGGGGCCCCAGGGCAGAGGCTCAGTCCTGGGCAGAAGGAGAGAATCCAGGAAGGGCCGGGATAAGGCACTGGAGGGGGGCCGCAGCCAGACGCAGGCAGTTCAGGAGGCCGCTGGCTCAGAGATGAGACAGCGAGGGGCGAGGCACATCCTGCTGCAGGCTGATGCTTGTGGCCGGCAGCAGCAGCTTCCCTGGCCCTGGGAGAGAAGCCGAGCAGCGCAGGGTCAGAGCCAGTAGGCCAGAAAGGGGGGCAGAGTGAAAGCCCGCCACCCAGCAGAAAGCAGGGACGGGGCAGCAGACGACAGGCCCAGGCCCTCGGCAGTCGCCGCAGAGTGGAGTTGGAGAAAGCCCCCGCAGGGCCACTGCCTTGGAGGTGTCCACGCGCTCAGGGCCACGGCTTCTGAGCTGCCTCCAGGACGGCGGCTCCGGCTGCCCCAGGGTTCTCCCTGCTCAGCCTGAACCCTGGGCCACCGAAGCGGCTCCTGTCGGAGAGTTGGACGACCACTCCACCAGCCTCCGCCAGCTGAGGCTGGCCTGGCGCACTGATGGGCAGACCACAACATGGACGCTGCAGACGGGGTGTCGGTGAGCTCAGGGAGCGGGTGGAAGGTCACTAGGCTGAGAGCCAGATGCCAGTTCTGTCCCTTCCACCCAGGCTGGCCCCGCACCCAGCTCTGTTCCCTTCTGCTTCCACCCTGCTGCCAAGGCGTTCCCGGTGGACACAGGCCAGGGAAGGGCTGGCCCCCAGGATGGAAGGTGGAAAACACAGGACGCCAAAACTCCTCCCGCGGCCTACCCTGGCAGAACTGTAAGACTGTTCTGTGGAGTCACACACACAGAATGAGACTCCGGCCCAAGGCAGGTGCAGGAGGTGCTGGGCACCTTCTGGGCAGGAGAACCAGCTGTGGGTGCTGCCGAGTCACGGTGGTGCAGTTTGCCAGGAGCAGCCCGCAGGCTCCGGTCAGGCCAGCCAGCAGAGGGTGAGTGCCGAGACGAACTCAGGCAGCAGAGCGCAGAGCGGGCTCCCACCAGGAGCCGCAGCCAGGCCACGAGCCCAGAGGCTCTTCTGCCCAGGCCTGGTCAGGCGGCCACTCTGCTCAGGGGACACTCATTGCTGAGGTGACAGCCCCTGTGGTCCAGGTCAACGCCTACTTGGTCTTTGAGGACGGCCAAGCTGAGGGTCCAGCCCTGGAGAGCCCTGGGAGGGGGGACACACCTGGCCAGGATCCTGCTGTGGGGCAGGAGTGTGACACCACAGCAGGGCTGGTTCTGGCCGGGCACGAGGGCCTGCCCACGTCCTGGCCTGCTGTGGGCAGCAGCTCACACCAGCATCTCCTCACTGTGGCCCAACGCAGGAGAAAGGCCAGGGCTTCGGCAGACTAGGGTTGGCCTGGTGGCGGGTTTGGCTGCCTCCATCCTCTCTGGGTGACATGGATCTTAGCTGGAAAGGAAAAGGAGAAGCCAGGAGGGCCCTGGGGAGTGAGTGTCTGTCCCCTCACTCTGGCTCCTCCCGGCCGGGCCCTCTCTCTCTGCAGCTGGCCTAGGTACCAGGAGCACGCCCCAGGAGGCTCCCGGCTTGTCCCCAGGACGCAGCCTGGCTCTGGGTGCCGGCACCTTGTTTCCCACGGCTGGGAGAGCCTGGAGGGCCAGAGGGACAGGGAAGACTTGTTTCCTGGAGGAGTCACCCAACTGCTGTGCTAGAACAGAATATTCCGGAGAAGCTGAAATGGAGGAAGAGAAGCCACGGTCCAGATGGAAGCGAGTGAGTAACCCTGGCCGTGGGGACAGTGGCTGCCCTCCACGTACCTCATGGGACCCTGGAGCTTTGGACTAGGGCCACCCAGCAGGATGTCCACTGAGCCAGCCAAGCCTGGGGCAGGGGGAGAGCTTAGAAGACTCCGGGCCTGAGATGTCTGGGGAAAGTCCAGGTGGGTGCCGGCAGCCGCAGGTATGAGGGGGCCACGCAAAGGCCGGTGGGGAGAGAACCTGGTGGAACCCCAGCTGGGCACCGCTGCCTCATGGGCCGGCACCTGCTTCTCGTGTTGAATGAATGAGAATCAAAAGCAGCAAAACTTAATGAAAATAGAACAAATAGTTTCATTAAAATGGGAAAAGACGGAGGCTGAGGGCCTTTGAGTGAGAGGGTATCCACACACACGTCGTTGCCAAGTTTTCTCTAAAAGGTTGGAGAGAAGCAAAGCTCATCCTTAGTGGGTGAGGCAGAATGAGAGACGGCAGCAGGAAGGCGGCGTGGGATCCGCGAGGCGGCTCTCCCAGGCCCAGGTCTTCTCCTGTGGAAGGGCCTGGTCCACACACCTGTGTTCTGTGCGTCTGTGCCTGCTGAGACACTTCTGTGGACGACGGCGGAACCCTGTGTGGGCTTACAGGCTGGAGGCAGCCAGCCCCACGGCTGGGCGGTCCTGCTCTGCCAGGAGCAGACATTTGTCTACAGGTCTGCGCTCCACCGCCAGAGCAAAGCCTGCGCCTGGGCGGCCCCAGGGGCTGCCGATGCGAGCTCAGGGTGCCTACGACTGGCGTCGGGGGTTCACCCAGGGCGCGGCTGGCTGCTGTCTCTTGCAGGAGGCCTGCTCCCTGGCCTCTCAGGAGCCTCTGAGCCATTCCCTGCATTCTGACCAGGAACCCTCTAGGGTCACCTCTGGAGCTGTGGCACTGGGCCCAGGTGTCAACGCGGGAGAGCTGAGGGCTCCAGTCCTCGCACTGCGGTGACGAGGGAGGGGTGAGTGTGGGAGGGGGCGCTACTGTTCCCGCCTGCCATCTCCAAGGTGTTCAGTCAGCCACCGGAGCCTGAGAGTCACCGGGCCTCTGCTCACTGGCCCCCGAGATGAGGATGGTCCTGTTGGCTGACCAAGGTGTCCTGGACTCCCCAGGAGCCTGCCGTCCTCTGGGGCCTCGGAGGCCCTCCTCTGCCGGGCACTCGGGCGTGGGGTGTCCTGGCTCAATCTGCAGGTCTCGACAGGGCTGGCATGCGGCTCCAAGTCTGTCTCAGTCTCTGGCTGTCCGTCAGTCGGGTTGACCTGGTGCCGCCTTCAGAAAGGGCTTGGTGGGTGCACGCTGGGCGCTGCTGTGGATCCTGTGGTCTCAGGGACCTCATGGGTAGAACTGGGCTCAGGGCCTGCCCCCAACTGAGGACGGAGGAGGCGGCTTTCTCCTGGGCTCAGCTGCCTCAGGCCACCAGGAGGCAACAAGAGGTGACTCAGCAAGTGACAGGGACCCTGCCCTCTGCTCGGCACTTTTCAGACTCTGTTGGAGGACTTTGCTGTCCAGAGCATGGACCACAGGAGCCCAGTTCTCCTCTCCTCTCTGGCGCTCGGGATCTGTGCCCTTGTTGGTGATTTTATTTTTGGTGCCAGAGACTGAAGCCAGGGGCACTTACCTACCAACCCACATGCCCAGCCCTTTTTATTTTTTATTTTAAGACAGGGTCTCGCTGACTTGCCGAGGGTCTCACTACATTGCTGAGGCTGGCTTTGAACTCAAGGTCCTCCTGCCTCCTGAGCCACTGGGAGGACAGGCGTGTGCCTGGCCATGGGTGACTTTTAAATAAAGTCTGCTTCACTGTGGTAAACTGTATGGACCGTGAAAGTGGCTGTGAGCAGGTCCCTCTGCTGCTGGCCCTTCTTAAAGTCTTCTGACCGTGGTGCTACGGCTGCTCCCGGAGCAGGTCGGATGTGTCTGCTTTTCTGGGGCCTGGGCGGGTCAGCGAAGCCAGGGCCCTCGTCCTGGCCGTCCTAACAGCCACGAATCCAGCCAACAAGGCACTGGGGACCACAGTCTTAGTTCCTGACCAGCAGGAGAGGGCCAGTGGGGAGGAGCGAGCTCCAGGTGCCTGCCCGCGGGTAGGGCTGCGACCGAAGCAGACGCCCGCCTCTCCGACTCCCGACTCGGGGCCAGGGTCATCTGTTTGCTCTGCGAGAAACTCTTACACACTCCCATGCCAAGGCCAGGGACAGTGAGAACCCCGAGGGACCATGGGAACACTCTGCGGTCAGACCTTTGGTCCATGCGGAGGGACAGCTGCCCTGGGCCGGAAGATCCTCTCGCACCACGCCAAGCTCTGCGGCCCAGCCCAGCTCTGGCTGCCCTCTGGGTCCCGTCTGTGTCCTCCTGAGCACTGGGATCTGCATGGCCGGGTCTCCCTGCACCGTGGGAACAGAGAGTGCCTTTGAGCCCCAGGTCATGCAGAGCGCCGGAGGCGAGATGCCCTGAACATGCCCAGCCTGACCTGCCTCTGCCCCACGGAGCTCCCCCCACTGGCTGCCTCCTGCTCCTCCTGCCCTCTCCCCGTCCTGCATGCCTCACTTGCTTACAGGGGCAGGTAGTGGGACCCCGCAGCCTCCCCCTGGACACTGGACCCTCAGCCTCACCACCGCATTATCCTGAGCTGGCTGTCTTGAGTGACAGGCACCAAGAGCCTGCCCTCCTGGGGTGCATGGCCTGATGTCCCTGTGTTGAGACCCCCAACCTGGGGGTGCACGCGTGCTCCCCAGAATGCAGGGTCAGGGACATGGACGCCTGCTGTCCTCTTATGGAGGGCCATGCCTGCCACCACTGGCCTGCAAGATTGTGCCTTTACAGAGGTAGGTTAATGGCTGTCCCCAGGGCAGAGCTCTGAGGCCCACCCAGTGACTGACAGCTCCCACAAAGCGTGTGCTCCTGACGCCTCTGTCTGACCTCGCCTCCGGCGCTCTGCATGACCAAGGGCTCAAAGGCACTCTCGGTTCCCACGGAGTGCTCTGGCCATGTCTGTGTGGCGCTCCATCTCAGCAGGCTGAGCCCACATGCGGGCACTCTGTGCCCCCCACCACAGAGGGGCCGTGGGGGCCGGGTTCTTGCAAAATGGACTTTTAACCCTAGACCCTTTACACAGCCCCACCCAGCGTGGACCTGAACAGAGGCCGCCCTCTTCCTGGCACAGCTGCCTTCAGCCTTGAGCCCCAGGCTTTGGTCATCTGTCCTCCGGCCTTCCACCGCCTGCCCATCCTGGGGGTGGGCGGGAAGGTGCCCGGGGACCCAGGGCACTCTGAGCTGTGCTGGGCTTGGCCCCAGGGTGGGTGGGCCCTGCACTGCTGACTAGAAGGCAGCCCTCCCTGGTCCTGGTGGAGGACCCGGGCCTCACAGGCAGAGGTCAGGAGGCGGTGGGCAGGGGGCTGTGGGCAAGGCAGGGCCTCCCTGCAGCAGAGAGACAAGCAAACCCTGCTTCCTGGCCACCTTGGTGCCTGCTGCCCTCCACCCCAGGGCGCACCCCAGACAGAGCTCTCCTAGACAGAGGCCCGCCCTCCCCAAGGCAATTCTGGTGGCAGTGGACTACAGGTGGCCCAGGGCATGTGAGGACAACGTGGGTTTAGTGTGATGGGAAAAGTGATGCTCAAGGGGAGGTCACTGCAGGTCACACAGGATTAGCAGAGGCTCCAACCCCACTGCAAGCCCGAGACCCCCACACCCCCTTGCCCTGTAGACTGCTGGCATCCCTGCCCCATCTCCACCTTCCATTCAGAGCCTCCCCAGTTGGACTCTTCTGGACAGGTCAATGGTGGACGCCTGCCTGTACCATGCGTGATAAAGGGCCTGCTCTCTTGCTGGAGGGCCTTGGTTTCCTTCCCAGGCGCAAGAACCTCAGGGCACAGGCCATTTGGTGACAGTGGCCTGTAGAGGGCAGACAGTGACAGGTGGGTGTACTTCTGAGCATCTGGACCTACACAGCGTCTCATCTCTAGAGGCAGGAGTCTCTGTCTGGGATGGCCTCAGGGACCTGGATGGATCCCAAGTCTGCTGCAGCCCGGAAAGTGCACCCCAGACATGACAGGCCAGCTGCCAAGGCCAGAGCCCTTTCTGCAGGAGGCTGGGAGCTACGCGGTGTCTGCACACCTGGGGGGCCTCGAGGCAGCCAGGCAGCGGTGTGTTCGAACACCCAGGCACACGTGCACAGGCGTGGGCTGCCCCAGGCTGGTTCTGGGAAATCAAGTGCTGGTTCACGTTGACTTTTCCTAACCTTCAAATGTTTGCAAACGGTCTGCCAGCTCCTGACTTTGGGGGAGTTTATACTAGAACTTTTAACTTTGTTTAGCAAAGTTTCGCAAAATGCAAACTGTACAGAGTTTTAGAAAACAGGCATTAAGTCCAGGCCGGACCAGTATTCTACTTCCAAGGGCAGGTTTGGTTTCCTTCTCCTGAAACCCAGGGCCTGGAGGCAGCGCTGAGTCGTGCAGGACAAGCGCAGGAGAGGACCTAGGAGCCTGGCACCCTCCAGCACACGCTGCTCCCATGGTGTGACATGTCATCAGGGTTCCAGAAACTCCCAGAATGGCCCCTCCCCGAGACTCAGGGCTGAGTTCTACGGCTTGGTCCCCAAGGGCTCTAACCTCAGCAGGCTGAGCCCACCTGCGGGGGGTTTCCTGGTGAGCAGGCAAAGGGCAGGGGTGACCTCACCACACAGCCCGGCTCCAGTGACCGCTGTGTGTTAACCAGATGGCCGCCCAGGTCAGATGCCCCATTGCCTAGCAGTGAAAGGAGTGAGAAGCCCCTTCCCCAGGACGTGGTGGGAGGAAGCTCTGCTGCCCGCAGTTCCCCACCGGCTGGTTCCGGGAGGTTAGTGGGAGAGAAGCTGGCCAGGGAGGGGTGGGCACCAGGGTCTGGGCTGGCCCTCCCGACCCCACGGTGCGCGGGGCTGACTCCTGGGCTGCTGCCGCTGTGTGCACTGGGGCCTGGGACACTGCTCACCAAGGAGCTGATGGCAGTTTGTGTCACCCGAGGACAGGAACCTGCGCTGGGAGGGGGAGGGCTCCATCGCAGCGCCAGCAGAGCCCCCCAGAGTCGGCAGTTTCCCAAGCGGAGCTGCCAGTGCTCCGTCTCGGGCCAGGCAGACCAGCCTTCCAGAGGAGCCCTGTGCCCACCTCCATCAGGCCCGCACAGGTGTCCGCAGCCCCTGCAGGAGGCCGCCTGCCCAGCGTGGAGACATGGAACAGCAGACAGGCCCAGCAAGCCTCCAGAGCTTTAATGGGGAGGAGAGGCCGAGCCCAGGGTCTCTGCCGCCGGCGACCCCTTGGCCCGCATGGACTTGTCGATCCACTTGAGGAAGGCAGTGACCTTGGTGTAGACCCCATACTTCCCTTTCCTTGCGCACCCTTCTCCCCAGCTGACAATGCCCGTCACAAAGTAGGTGTCCTTGAACCGGGTGACATGGGGGCCACCACTGTCCCCCTGGCAGGCGTCCTCCAGCTTGGCGTCGTAGCCAGCGCAGAACATGTTCTGGGTGATGGTGAAGCTGCTGGACAGCTTGCAGGTGTTGCGGTCCACGTAGGGCACCTCCAGCATCTTGAGAGTGCTGGACGGCCGGCCCTTCTCGTGGGTGCGCCCAAACCCGCTCACGATGCCCGTCTTCTGCGTCATCAGGGTGGCCTCTGCCCAGTCCTTCTGGGGCAGGCAGGCAGGGGCCACGTTCATGCGGAAGGTGATGGGCGTCTTCAGCCTCAGGACGGCGATGTCAAAGTCGTAGGTCTCCCTCACGAACTTGTTGTGCTTGACCACCACCTCCACCTCGTGGGCCATCTCGTTGCCCTCCTCCTTCTCCGTGTTCCGGTCCCCTGGAACCGGAGAGGACATCACAGCGTCAGTTCCCTGGGGACGGCATTTGCATGCCAGCTACTTTAAAAGAACGGTTTGTGATTGAGAAATGGTCTGTGGCCACATCTGAAACCGAAACACGGGAGAGTGGACAGAGAGCACTTGAAAATGACCTTCCACGTCCCTCCTGGGTGCCAGGACCTGGTGTCCCTCCTGGGTGCCAGGACCTGGTGTCCCTCCTGGGTGTCAGGACCTGGTGTCCCTCCTGGGTGTCAGGACCTGGTGTCCCTCCTGGGTGTCAGGACCTGGGTATCCCTGTCCGGTATCAGGACCTGGTGACCCTCCTAGATGTCAGGACCTGGGTATCC